GAGCATTGCCCAGTGATGGAGGCAGAATTCAAAGGGGCAGAAGCCACACTTGGAGCAATTCATCACATCTGCAGGAGAAGGGCCTGCCCAGGGGTCCCTGGGCTCAGCAAGAGGCTTTTTGGTTCAGGCACTGGGCCCAGGGAGTCTGAGGGGACAAGCCCCGCAACTCCCTCTCTCCCTTTCCCGGGGACTCACTGGCCCTGCCTCCTGCCCAGCATATGGACAGCTGGGGGTGGGACACCTAGGGGAGGGGGCACTGGGTGTCTCGGCAACCGGCTTGTTTTCCTTTCCGTTACAGGCATGGGGCCACAGCCGCCAGTTGCTGCTGGCCCATTTGTTGCTATTGGCATCCCAAGGCCCCAAATTATGATGACTAATTCCCACCGCTTTAGGCAGCTCCAGGGCTGTCTCCCGCAGCACACTCCAGGGGAGCAGGGTAGAAACCCCGCAGGGAGCACAGTAACACCCGACATCAATTCCAAATCAGCCTCCTGCCTCCCAGAGGGGCTAGGAGTCAGGAGGGACAGGGAGTGGGCTCCAGCCAATCAGAGGAAACCACAGCCAGATCCTAGGAAAACCAGCTATAAGGAAGCCAATTTCTTTTTTTCTTTTTTTTTTAGAGTTTCGCTCCTGTTGCCCAGGCTGGAGTGCAATGGCGTGATCTTGGCTCACCACAACCTCCGCCTCCCGGGTTCAAGCAAGTCTCCTGCCTCAGCCTACTGAGTACCTGGGATTACAGGCATGAGTCACCATGCCCAGCTAATTTTGTATTTTTAGTAGAGATGGGGTTTCTCCATGTTGGTTAGGCTGGTCTTAAACTCACGACCTCAGGTGATCCACCCGCCTTGGCCTCCCAAAGTGCTGGGATTACAGGCGTGAGCCACCGCACCTGGCCAAGGAGATCAATTTCTTCATCAACATAAAACATAACAACCAGCTTTTGTTGAGAGGTAGTGAGTCCTCTATTATCAAGGGTATGTAAGCAGAAACCAGGCCTTGTGGGCAGAGGATGGTCCTAGATGACATTTCGTGTGTCTTTCAAGTCAAATGCAATGTTTCCCATGAGTCCTTTGGATAGAAAACAAGCCCATTCTCCCTTTCTGGTTAGCTTACAGCCTGACTGCGTCCTGTGGTACAAAGTCAAATGCAAACCAACATGCAGGTTAACACTTCATTTTAAAGTCAGCCTTTCAGGCACTGTTTAAACAGAGGATTGCTGTAAAGAATTTGGCCTCCTTCCCAGCCTCCTTTCCCTTGTAGAACAAGGTTCCTGGCCCCCATGCCGGCCTTCCAGTAGAGGACATGAGGGAGAGACAGTCGATAAATATTTGCCCAACAAATGCATGAAGCGGGGGCGGGGGGTGTGTTGGGGGGTTGAGGGTGGGATTTCTGAGGCAGGTGTCAGGCAGCCAGCAGGATGCAGCCTCTGGGTGGGGGTCCTACCTCAGTTCCTCTCTGGCAGAGGTGATTCTCTGCAGCCAGTGGAAACACCAAGCTGTATCCCTTGTCTAACCACTGCCAGAATGTTCCAGACTCCCCAGCTGAAGCCAAGGGGTACAAAGGGTGAGGGAAAGAGGGGCATGGGAGAGCAGGGACACCCCCATTCCATTCTCTAGTGGGGCTTTTGACAGCTGAGCCCCAGGCAAGCACGACACTCTGCCTCCTGGTAATTAGCAAAAGGCCCTGATCAATAAGTTATTTTTTGCTGTCAGTAATTAATAATTACAGCTTAGCCACACCATGTAATTAAACTTTCATCCGCTCCCTCGTGTACTGTTGGCTTTTATTGTGATTAGCTCCCAGCACTAAACTCTCTCCCTTTGGAGCCTTTCAGGAGCCTCTAGAGCTGGGGGATCCAATCCTCTTTCAGGGTTTTCCCCACTGCTTTGTTCACTCGGTTCAGATTCCCTTCCTTCTGTTCTTCCCCCAGGCATGATTCTCTTGAAAGAAACTTCTGGACCATCTGGCTTGACTGCTCCTGCCCTTCTCCCAACCTCTCAGGCTGGCCAGAACGACTTCCAGCAGTAATCAAGCTTCCAAGCACACGAGAAATCTCTCCGAGGCTCTCGTTAAAAGACTTCCAGGCTCGCCCAGACCTTTCCAATCATAATGTCTGGGAGTGGAGCCCAAGAATCTGCATTGCTACAACTCCCTGGGAGCTAAGTGCTTGAGGACCACTCTTGGAGATGCAGTAATGTGGCCATGGAAGGAAGTTAAAGAAATGTCCTGAGTAAGGAAAAAGAATTCAAGGTCTTATTGGTGGGTGGCAGGGTACCATTCTTCATGGACTCCTTGCTTAGCGTTAAAACCGTCATAACAGTGGTAATAATTGCCATGTATTAAGTACCTTCTGTGTGCCAAGCACTGGCTGGGCCCCTGTCCCCAGAATACCTTGAATTCTCCTAGCAATTCTATAAGGCAAGAGCTATTATTGCCAAGGTACTGATGAGGAAACTGAGGCTCTTAGTGGCCAAGAGTCTTGCTGAAGGCCTCTGCAGCAAAGCTGCAAAGCCAGATCATGAGAACCTGTTCTTTCTGTTGCCAAAGACGATGCTCTTCTGCAACCTCACGTATACCCAGGTGATGTCTCTCAGATCCAGCACCTAAGAAAAACAACCAGGCTAGGCCCAGATAAAATCTGGTGACAGTGGCCGATGTGAAGTTTGTCTCAAAGGAAGAACAATTGTTTGGTCCCTCGTTCTGTGCCATGCCTGGAGAACCGGGCTTGTGGGCTCAGAAATGACAGAGCTGGTGGCTTCAGCTACCCCCAAAGGATTGTCATGGCTTGAGACCGGGAGAAACTCGTTCTCCAACCCCAAAGCAGATAAGAAAAGACCCCATGCCCTAATCCCACCCCCTCCAACTAAACCCAGCACTGCCCAAGCCTAGGACCGCCTTCCCACAATCTTCTGCAAAGTTTGCTGCCGGGGACACACATGGCAGGAGAGGGCCTGATGCTGGAAAACACTTTCGGAGCCAGAGAACACGAGCAGAGCAGCAGGGACCTGGGCAGCCTGACATGCAAAAAGGCAGCAAACAAGAAAGGCAGAGAGGAAGTGAATCAATCAGAGAGACCTTCTCTGCTTCTGACAGGGGAGCCCCTCCTGCAGGAAGCACATGGGCAGGGGGCCACCTGGCCTTAACTTCAGCAGGAGGGATGGGATCTTGGCCTCAAGTGGATGACACAAGTGTGGAGGTGGGGCAGGAAGGGCCATCAGGTGCTCTGGGGACTTCATAAGGGCCTGGTCCTAGTTGAGATAAGAATTGGTGAGCCACCTGCCCAGAGAAACCATGAAGTTAGAAGGGTCCCGACAGATGCTAGCATCCCTTTCCTCTATGCCATCCAGGCTTTTGGCTGGTAACACTGATTATTTCAGAGCACAACTGTGAGGCCGCTCCAGGATGAAGGACAACCCATTCCTATTCGCCAGCATCAGGGTCCTCCTGGGACCCCGCAAAGAGGTGCCCCAGACAAGGAGACTCCAGGCAGCTGGTCCCCGTTTGAGGAAGAGGGCTCCGAACTCACCTGGTTCCAGATCTGCCTCTGCCCCCAGATCACGGAGTGGCCTTGGGCAAGTCACTTGATGTCATTCGGCCTCAGTTTCCCTATCTGTTAAATGGCTATTAGAATAAGATGAACTCTGAGCTCCTCGCTTGCTCCAAGATTTTATGATAATCATAAAAATAATAACTTTTATTACCTTACATTTATAGGGCTCGTTACAAAATTTCTAAGTGCTTTTACGTAAATTACCTCGTAAAATCCTCCCTTCAGCCCTGTGAGTGAGAGCTGATTATTTTCATCCCTTTGATCTTGGCTCTCTGGATTGCCTGACGCTGGGCGCATGGGGGTCCCTTCTTCCCAGAAGGTTTGGAGGGCCAAGAGGCGGCGTGGGGGAGTGGGTTGCAGTCCCCGAAGTCCGGCCCCCCAGAGTGGGTCTGGCCCCCTCTTGAGCTTGGGAGAGTGAAGGCCTAGCGCTGCGAGTCCTGGAGCTTAGTCCAGGCTCCGTCTCCCTCCACCCCCAGCAGGCGCCGCTCGGACACCGCTGACACCACTGTCTGGCTCGGCGAACCCCAAAGGCGAGGAACCGCCGGTGCAGCCGCCCTTCCCCGCGGGTCCTGCCAGGGACCAGTGAGACGTCTGGGCATCCACCCCCAGGAAGCCGGCTGCGCAGGTCATGTCTCGGATCCTTCGTAACAGTCCTAGCCCCAAAACCACCAGCCCTTCTCCACCGCAAGGCTGCTCCCAGCAGCCACAGGTCACAGCAGCGAGCGGCTGCACAGACGATCGAGCAAACCGCGGAGGCTGGAGGCAGGGGCAGGGATGCTGGGTGCGGGTGGAGGGCTGAGAAGGGAGGCCTCAGACCCTCCCCTTGCGCCACCCATGGCTGCACCCGCGACCCCGGCTCCAGGCCGGCGCAGCGAAGCACCCCTAGCCCCGGCGGCCGGCCGGGCAGCGAGGCGCAGGCTCCCGTACGTGGCCATGCCGGGCGATTGCTCTCCCTGGGCGAGAGACCCGGCACCCAGCACCCGCCCACCCCTTTCCCTCGCCCCGGGGAGGCCATCGCCTGCCCGGCAGGAGCCCTGTCCTTCCCCGCAGACACGGAGCAGGGAACCAGGAGCTCAGTCTGGGGAGCTCAGTGGAGCCGAGCGTGGCGCCCGGCACGGAATGTCGCACCCCTACCCAGCCGGCGCAGGGCATCCACAGCAAAGGGGGGGAGGGGAGCGCCCCTCCCACCTCACCTTGGGCTCTTCTCTGCCTCCCCAGGTAGTCACCACCTTCCCCCATTCGGAAGCCACAAGTCTCGGAGAGACTGCTCCACCCCCAGAAGAGCCCCAAAACTCGGGAGATGGGGCGTCTTGAAACTCCCTGGAGAGGGCTCTGCCGCGGCTAAGCCTTGTGTCCAGGAGGCCACCGTGAGGCCGGCGGGCTCCCGCCGCCCCTCCCCCGCCCCCTCTCCCAGCTCCCTCACCGTCCCCACGTGGGGGTCCCTCCTTACCTTGGGCTCCGGCCGCGCGGATCTGATGCAGAGCCAGCAGCGTCCAGATCCAAAGCCCCCACATGGTGACCAACCTGGAGCGGGATCCTCGAGGTCTCCCTTCCCTCCGCCCTGTTTTATAATCCTAGTGGGGTCCGGTACCTCGTGGCTCTGTCCCGGGAGACAGTCAGTTTACGCGGCTCCACGCCCCGGGCGTAATAAGCCCGGGAGGGGCAGCGCTGGCCACCCCAACCTTTCCTCCTCCTCTTCTGTCCTAGTCCGGGCCCGTCAGCGCTCCCGGAAGGCAAGGAGCGAGAAGGCAGAAAGAGGCCAAGCCGTCCTCTCCAATTAGGGCGCCTCTCTCCCTGGAGCACCCCAACTCCGACTTGACCCAGGCAGGGCGGCCTCTGCGATCTGGCCGGGTCGCCGGCCGAGCTCCGGAATAAACTGACAACTTCAGGAAACTTCCTCCCTTGGCCACGTTGCCCGCCCCCCGCCCCCTCCCCGCCCCCTGGTGGGGTTCTCCCGGCCAACGCAGTCACCGCCGTTCCAGGCGCCAGGCCCCCGAGACCCGGCCCGGGCCGAGCGCCGCGGCAGACGCGGGTGCGGGGGTTCTTTTAGGGGCGCCGGTTTCAGGGGGCGCGGTGAGCATAGCGGTCCGAATCTCCCTGGAGCTGAAGTTTTCTTCTCTCTAACTTTGCAGGCGGCATCTGGCGGGGCCGAGCCACCCCTCTGGGCTACACCGCCCTCGCGCCTAATCCGGAGACTCCGGGTCCCCTCCCGGGGCGCGGGGGCCGGGCGCGCCCTGGGCTCAGCGCCCAGCCGGCTAGCAAACTTTGCGGGTCCCGGAGCCGGGCGAGCAGCCTGGAGCGCCCATGTCCGCGCCGGCCGCGGGGCAGCAGGGGCGGGTGCTGGGCTCCGCGATGCGGGCTGTGGCCCGCGCCCGGGCGCGGAGCCTCCTGCCGGCCGGAGGATGGAGACCGGCGGCTCTGCCCTCCGCCGCGCCCCGGCCGGAGCTCTCAGGGAGGCTCACTGAGAGCCCGGCGGGCAGCCCAGGCTCCGGGGACTCGGCGCCCCCTCTGACGCCCGGCGATCGCCGACCTCCCTCCTGGGCCGAAGGAGCAGCGGCCGCCGCCGCCGCCGCCTCTCGCCGAGCCCGCAGCCCTCCGCTTCCCGGGTTCGGCGTCCTGAGAGCCGCTCCTGCCTGCGCCGAGCCGGAGCTGCGGGGGCAGCGTGAGCCGGGGACGAGCGCGGCGGAGGCGGAGGCGGAGACGCGGAGAGGGGGGCCGAGCGCTACCCCGTGGCCGCGACTGGAGAGCAGCCTGCGCTCCGGGAGGGGCGGCGGCGGCGGCCCTGAGCCAGGCCCGGGAGCGAGCCCCGCAGAAACACAATCTGACTGCGAGGCCGCGGGCGCCCACTGGCTCCGGGACCCGCCGGGGGGGTGGCAGTGACAACCTCAGGCCGCGCCAGGAGAGATGCACGCGAACCCCTCTGCTCTCAGTCCAGCCTGTCCTTCCAGCCCCGCCCTCACCCCTCTCAAAGGCCTTGTAGGACCCCCAGATTCTCCTTTAGCCGGGACCCCCAGCCTCCTTCCGGACATGGAGTGATGGGGGCGGCGGCGGCGGTTGGGAAAAGGGATTCGGTCCACCGGTTGATTCCGGTTTCTCCTGCCCAAGTCAGGCTCTCCAAAGTCTGGAGATGCTCAGGGCGGAAAGGGAGACACGGGAGGCCTGGGACCTGCAGAAGCCCGAGAAAGTGAAGTTGGGGCCAAAGCGCTTACGTTCTTTGTTTCTTTTTTCTTCGAAGCTCGGCTTGTAAAGGGTAGAAGAACGGGACATTGGTGGAGAATTCAAACAAGTGAGGCCGGAGGCGTCCTCTGCTGTGGCCTAGAGCTAGCACGTGCTCCAAAAGCTCCGCTGGGGCTGACAGGCTCCACTTAAAGTTTCCTGGGCACCAGGAAAATTTAAGGGGCCTTCACTTCGGTGGACTCTTACTCCGCAAACAAAAATATAAAAATAGTATTTTGGCACTGCGTTGGCATAAAGAAAAGTATAATTAATATTGCATAGTAAAACATGTTGCTTAACCTAAAGCTTTACTTATTTTTTCTGGTTTTAAAAGAAATGAAAACATGTTCACGGGCCCCCAAAAGACAATGGGCCCTGGCACTGGGCCTGCAGTGCTTAATGGAGAAGTCGGCCCTGCGTGTCTGATATATTTTCTGGTAAACAAAGAACTAGTGAGACCCTCCACCGTTTACCACAGCGCTTCCCTCTTCTCTCTCCTATCCTGCTTAGTCTGGGCCCCCACTGCTGTCTAGCCTTTCTGGTCCTTGAATCCGAGGACTGTGACTCACTGATTGCCAGCTCTTACCCACCCCAAGGACACCCCTTCTGATTGCTGTAGAATAGTCATAGCCACTGCAAATATATCCCTACTTACATATTCTCATTTCACCTGCTTTGGAAGAAGAACCATGAGCATTTATTGAAAATGTCTGAGAAGCTGGCCTGCCTTCCCTACAGCCCTTCAATCACCTAATTCAAACAACACTTCCCCCTGGCAACCTGTGCGACATCCCCAGCTGAAGCCCCTCTGGCTGGCTGATTGGTAAATGGGAGGGCTTTGGGGGCCGGCAGCCTAGATGAGACCAGCTCTCCTCCCCGTTGGTGGCCATGCCACACCCACCTGCTTAATGATGCCCAGATGTGACAGTGCACACCCTCTACGTGCTCTGAATGTCCCCAGCTGCGAGCCCAGGCCCTTCCCAGACTGTTAGGAAGAGCACTGGTCTTTAGGTGCTGTTACACTCTTTGCTCACAGAGGGGGCCTGAGAGCCGTATTTTCGGAGAACCTCTCCTCTCTCTGAGGCCAGATAGCAGAAAGGGCTGCATCTCTGTTTACATCACAGAGGGTGGGAGTTCGTGTGGACACAAATGGCTGAAACCTGGGTGGATTCCACCCTAATCATGCTCAATTCCCAGAAGTCCAGCAGCCAGGAATCTGAGCTGCATGTGCCTCGGGCCTTGAACAGCGTCACTCTCTTATTAAGAGGAGGCCTCTTGCACAACGTTTTGAAGGCCTGCAAACCCTTCTTGTGGGAGTTTAATCCCTAACATGTGGGACAGGGGGCCCACCAGGGGCTGAAGTGAGGAAGGAGGTTTCCTTTTCTTTGCTGGAAGTCTCCAGGAGCGCCTGCAAGTTAGAGAGGAAAGGACATCACTCCACCTGCAGCTCCTATTACAAATTTCTGTCTCCATCCATCTAGGATGAAGATTTGAGCTCTTTTTGGCCTCAACCCATACACACACACACACACACACACACACACGAAGGAACTCTCTGATTTTGCTTCTTGCCAGAGTGTTGCTGGCCCGGGAGAAGGCTGAGCTGGGAGTCTGCCACTTTGAGAGAGGCTGGTTACTGGGAAAGTCACTTGCAGACAGCATGAGCTCATTCTTGCTACCAGCGGTATAATTAGAGGTTGCATCGGTGCAGTTGCAGTGAGTGCCACGTCAGGAGGGCTGCGAGGATTCCCCAGGCTGTAATCTGTTTCCTTTTTGCAACCCTACCCCTTCCTGTTGGAGCCCATGAAGACAGCTCTCCCGGCACACTCGGACAGGACCTGGGTCTTCCTCATCTATACCCCATCTCCCTCCATCCCCAGGTCCCGCACCTAGTCAAAGACCCTCCTCTCCAAACATTTGGCTCTGTAAATTCCAGAGGAGGGCGTGGACGCAGCATCACAACACATTTTCAAAGAGAAGAAGCCCGGGTCATTCTGCTGTGTCTCCTTCTCCCTTTCCAAGTGGATGTGATTTTCAAATGTCACCCTTCTAGGAAAGCGCTCACTGAACCCCAAATAGGGCCATTTTCCTAGCATTTTATCCCACACATAGTCAATGAAAGGGCACCCCTGCAGAATCTTGAGAGGGAGCCTTCGGAGCAGGAAGTGCGTTACCCCATGTCCCAGCCAAGGAGCCAGAAGGCGAAACCCAGGACAGTCAGATGGAGCTGCTCAGTCACAGAAGGCCTAGATCCTCCTTAGCCTGCCATCCCTCCGCATCAAACTCCATTTCCCCCACAAAAAACCAAAGGCTGGGCAGGGACAGAGTCAGCTTTTCAATATGGTTATTGTGTCTTTTTTTCTATGTTCAATCTCAAATGTAACAGCAGATAGAACAGAGAGTGCAATTGCAGGGTGAGATTGTATCCTCTGGCAGGCCAGATCTGTGCCAGGGACTGGCAGGGACCAGCCAGGAAGCAGTGACAGTGACAAGGAGGTGGCGGCACGTGCTTTCACTCCCTCCCCATGCCCTGTGCCTACTCCCTCATCCCAAGTTCTCTGCTTCCCAAGTTGCTGGGGGCTGCCCTCCGCCAAGAAGTGCACTCTGGTGGCAATTTTGCTGGGGATAAGAAGGCGGATGGAGTGAGCGCAAGGGTTGGACAAACTCAGTTTAGAAGAAAAATGAATGAGGCCAGAAGGGAAGACAGAGTGGAGATGGCCTTTAACCTATGGGGCTGCAGAGCAAAATCACTCATTTGTGCTTCCCAACAATGCCGTTCCCAGCGTCTTGTTCCTCATCGTGAGGCTGCTCTCAGGGTTGCTGCAGGTGGGGCTGGGCCAGGGCCCCCCAGAGTAGAGACTTTTGCAAAGCCGTCTACCCCACCAGCAGGGAACTGAGATACCTCACTGCCTTGAAACAAGGGCTTCCAGTAAATAACTCGTGGCATTCATTTTTCATTTTTGTTATGTGTTGAAGATGGAGAAAGGGAAGGAGTGGAAGGGGTAGAAGTGGTTTATTAATCTCAATCGGAGAGAGAGAGTCCCCTGAGTCCCGTCTCAGCTCCAGCTGACGCAATGAAACACCGTAGACTGGGCAGCTTAAGCAACAGACATTTTGGGTTGTTTGTCAACTTTTTGTTTTTATTCTGGAAAACGTCTTCGACATGCATAAAAGTAGAGTGTCTAGCACAGAATTCTGCCGTTCAATATGGAAACCACCAGCCGTGAGACAGAGCACTTCAGATCAGGCTATAGACACGTGCTGGAATGATTATAGTTTGAATCTACTGAGTTAAAGATCATTTAAAAAATGGATTCACCTATTTCTTTTTAACTTTTAAAATGTGGCTACTGGGAAATTTGAAATGACGTATATGGCCCATGTGACATACTTTTGGACAGTGTTGGCACAGACCTCTCTGCTTATCTATGCCCACTTCAATAGCATCAGCTCACGGCTCATCTGTTTCATTTACACCCTATGTACTTAATTTTTTTTTTTAACTGCTTTGGTGCCATCTTTATCGATGTGCAGAGCTAAATTTTGTTGGCGACAGGCATTTATTTCTCATAGTTCTGGAGAATGGGAAGTCCAAGATCAAGATGCTTGCTGATTCAGCTCTTGGTGAGGGCTCCCTTCCTGGTTTGTAGACAGCCACCTTCTTGCTGTGTGCTGCTGTGTCTGCACAAGGCACAGATTGAGAGAGAGGAGAGAGAGAGAGAGAGAGAGGAAGAGAGAGGGAGAATTAGGGTAGATAATGAGAGATGGGAGAGAGAGAGAGTGTCTCTTTCTCTTCTTACAAGGACACCAATCTCATCATGTGACCCCATCCTCATGGCTTCATGTAAAGCTAAGCACCTCCCAAAGGCCCCACCCCCTAATGTATTCACATTGAGGGTGAGGGTTTCAACATCTGAATTGGGGAGTAGGTACAAGCCTAATCTGGGCTCCAACCCCACCCTCCATTACCCATTAAAATTTGCTTTCATTCCCTTAGGAGAATGGGCCGAAGTGCTCAATACATGTCCATGGCTTAGCTGGGCTAGGGAAAGCCTGTATCTTTAGCTTCTGTGCCAAGGTCAAAACCACCGTGGGGTCTACTCCTGGCTTTCAGGCCCTGGGATTTGATTGGCTGGACACAGACCTAAACAGATTGAGGTTCTAACTTCCATCCTCCTCCCTGCTTGTGCCTGCCAGTTCTCCAGGAAAGGAGGAAAAGAGACATGGAGAAATGGAAGAGAATATCCCCAAACCACCAATACTGGCGCAGGAATGCTCACCAGCTTGCTGACTGGGAGCCAGATGCAAGCCAGAGAGAAGAGATGTTAAGAGACCACAGGAGACAGTATCTTTAAACAATAAAACTTCCAAATGCAGGCTAGGCTGGAGAAG